TGGGGCCACCCTGGGAGTCCAGAAGGCTGCCTCCCCCCGGATGCGGGGCATGAGGGCCAGCTGCATGAAGCTGATGCCAACCTTATGAAGTTTAACCATGCCAAGTGCTAGGTCCTACACCTGAGTTGGAGCAATCCCAGAACAGCTACAGGTTGGGCAGAGAACAGATTCAGAGCAGCCCTGTGGAGAAAGACTAGGGGGTGTTTGTCAACGAGAAACTTAACGTGAAGCGGCTTCAGTGTGTGCTCGCAGCCCAGAAAGCCAACCGTATACTGAGCTGCATGAAAAGGAGCGTGACCAGCAGGTCAAAGGATGTGATCCTGGCCCTCTACTCTGCTCTCGTGAGACCTCACTTGGAGTATTGTATACAGTTCTGGTGTCTTCAACATCAAAAGCACAAGGAACTTTGGAACAAGTCCAGAGAAGGGCCACGAGGATGATCAGGGGAATGGAACACCTCCCGTATGACGAGAGGCTGAGAAAGTTGGGGCTGTTCAGCTTGGAGAAGAGAAGGCCATGTGGAGACCTCGTAGCAGCCTTCCAGTATCTGAAGGGGGCCTACAAGGATGCTGGGGAGAGACTCTTCATTAGGGACAAGGGGTAACAGGTTAAACCTTAAAAAGGGGAATTTTAGATTGGATAGAAGGAGAAAGTTCTTTACTATGAGAGTGGTGAGGCACTGGAATGTGTTGCCCACAGAAGTTGTGAATGCTCCAACCCAGGCGGTGTTCAACGACAGGTTGGACAAAACCTTGGGTGACATGGTTCAGTGTGAGGTGACCCTACGAATGGCAGGGGAGTTGGAACTAGATGATCAATATCGTTTCAACACATAAATATCCTATGATTCTATATGCATAACATACCATAGCTTTCTGTTGTATTCTGTCCTGTTCAGTTCCATTCCATTCTCTTCTGTTGTATTCCATTCATTCCCTGCACTCAAAAGGAGTTGTACAATGAGGAGATCATTATTTACCTGAAATGGCAGGGGAATTTCAGCACCAAAAGCACGTTCAAAGACACAAATCAAAACGGTTACAGGTAGAAAGAGTATTTTATTTATTTCTAAAAAAAGTATTTGGTTTAGTTTAGCTTAGTTAATTTGAGCCTGGTTGACTTGAGACCCTTCAGTTTAGCTGGAAAAAACTCCTGTTGCAGCCAGAGAAGGGAAAGCCAGGGCAGGAGCGGTGCTGTGGTGGTGCAAGAGCAGTGCAAGAAGAACCCGGCCAGAAAGGGCCAGGGAAGACCTGACGAGGGGTGGTGCTCAGTGCTACAGAGGACAGCAGCAAGTCCCGGGGCCACGCTGGGGCCACCCTGGGAGTGCTGAAGGCTGCCTCCCCCCAGATGCGAGGCACGAGGGCCACCTGCGTGGAGCACGAGCCACTGCCTTTGGGACACCGTGACCCAAAGCAGCCCCATGAAGGGGCTGTGCTCGGCTGCGGAGGAAGGCAAAAAACCCCAGGGACGCTTGCTAGTGCACCCTGGGGGGAAAAAAGCCCTTCCCCCCCTAGCTGCAGGACACCAGGGGCCACCTTCGTGGAGCATGAGCACCAGGCCATAACGCAGCCGAAAAGGACCGAGGAGCCCTGACAAGCGGTCATGCTCAGTGCTCAGAGGAAGGCAAAAAACCCCCGGGGACCGGTGCCAATGTGCCCCGGGGGAAAATTCCTTCCTGACCCCAGTGCTGGCGATCAGCTACTCCCTGAGCATGCTCCTGCTCCACAAGCTGGTTATGCCTCTAAGGGGACACTGGCACTGCCTTTTCTGCCTCCACCTGGAGCCATCTCAGGGGCTTCCAGCAACACCAAGATGCCATTGTTCTGATGACTCCTTAGAGCAAGAATCCTTCCTGTGCTTGGCAGTAGGAGCTCCAGAGCACTGGGGGAGGGCACTGAGCCATCTCTGCATCCTTTTTCTTCTGGTTGCTGCCACTCTCTCCCCAGGAGATGAGGACGGCGAGCTCCCCAACAAATGAAGCAGGATTTCCTTCCCTCCTTCCTTCCCTCATTCCTTCCTTCCTTCCTTGCTTTCCTTCCTTTCCTTCCTTCCTTCCTCTCCTTCCTTCTTTCCTTTCCTTCCTTCTTGTCCTTCCTTCCTGTCCTTACTTCCTTCCTGTCCTTACTTATTCCTTCCTTTCCTTCCTTTCCTTCCTTCCTTCCAATGAGCTTTGAGCGTGGCCTCTGCAGGAGCTGGAACTGCAGCACCGAACCTCCCGCAGCTCTGTGCATCTTCAAGTGCTCCCGCTATTAACCCCCTCCCTCTCCCAGGAATTCCCCCGCTGCCTTCATGGCTTCCTCTTGGATGCCCTCAGGCTGCCAGCCCTGTCCTGGTGGCAGCACCAGGCACTCTGACAGGGGACCAGGGGAGGGCGCTGGACTCATACTGCCCCAGAGCATTGTGATGCTGCGTTGGAGGGTGCTGGCACTATGACATGGCAGTGAAGGGGCCCCCGCAGCCCCGCCCAGGGCAGCCCTGCTGCTGCTCTCCCTTCACCCAGCATCCCTTGGAGAAAGGCCTTTGGGCTGCTGGCCATGAGGCAGTGCCCGTGCCCAGCAGGCCCAGGCAATGTCCCTGCCCATGATGGCCACACACCGGGCACTACTGCAGGGTGTCCCTGTAAATAAATCTGTATGTTCAGACCCTATCCGTAAAGGCTTTTATACAGCGTACAGTCAGTTGACTGGCGATCGCAAAGGTGAAAGGGGTTTGGGTTCCCTCTGCATGAACTTTGCAGAATCGTAGAGAGCATACAGGAGTTCCTCACCATTCCCTATTTCCGAGCACCTCCCGTATGAAAATGGGCTGAGAAAGTTGGTGCTCCTCAACCTGGAGAAGAGAAGGCTGTGTGGAGTTCTCATAGCAGCCTTCCAGTTTTTGAAGGGTGGCTATAGGGATTTGCTTCCCTCTGCATGAACTTTGCAGAAACAAAGAACTCTTCCTGAGTTTGAGGATTCTTGTTTGAGAGAAACGAAACACAATGGAGAAAATCACTATAGGAAAATGTAGAGATAGTAAAAGATATAGCAAAGGATATTAATGATATGTGGTTATCTTACCAACCCCAAGGACCATGTCATGACGATCAAGAAACCAGCTCTAAGGAGCATCATCGCAGTGCAAGGTGGCCCGCTCAACCTTAGCGGGCATCTCTGTTAAGGCAACGTTGACCTGGGTGGTTTGCGGTTTTGCTTCACTGCATAGCACGAGGTTCGGGCTTTTATCCCAGCAAAAATGCACACTCATTCTGATATAGGGTGCCAGCCTACGTTGGAAGGAGTGGCCAGCTATACAAAACACTCAGAAAAACACTTAGGAAAAACAATAACTGACTCAGTTGCGTAGAACAGTTTTAGAAACCTCAGCTAAGTATCACATGAGGGTACTGCAGAGGGCAGAGACTGAGAAATTGGCAACAACTCCTCCCAGCACATTTATTCAAATCCTTGAAATGCAGAATGACCACTGGTCTCTCTCCCATAGGCTTATTTCTTGCACAGTCTATCAGGGGGACTGGCCTCCCTTGGGATCTGCACTGCAGATAGCCCCTCAGACCTATGTCACAGCTTGTCATGCAGAATTGCATTCTATAGCCCCATCATAGAAGGTCACCAAACTGGTCAGATAGGATTTCTCCTTAGTGAAGCCATGCTGGCTGTCACCAACCACCTTGTTTTTCATGTGCCTTAGCATACTTCCCAGGAGAATCTGCTGCAAGATTTTGCCAGGCACAGAGGTGCCGAGGTGAGCAGCTCCAGAGAAGGCACCTGCAACACTGGAATGTGGGGAAACCCCGCATCCAGGAGCCTAAGATCTGAGTGGCGAGAGGCACCGGCGGAGCCTCGAGCCCTTACCAGGCCTTGCCCTGGAGCCAGCAGCTCCGCTGAGGCGAGCAGGAACTCATAGGGGGCGGTGTCACGAGGGACGGCCCCGCCCTGAGCAGGGAAAACCCGTCCCAGGGAGCCCGGGAACAGCGCATAGCACTCACACCTCGGAGTGTAGAGAGTGCCTCCACTGGTCCCTTGAGGCATCGATCCTTCAGCTCAAAGGGGAGGACCTTGAAAAGGCCAGGCGGATTTGGTGGGTTAATACATGATTAGAAAGGTGGTGCCATAGTCAGGGGTTTGGTTATTTAGAACGTGGGACTACATTTTGGAGGCCAGGTCTACTGGAGCCTGGTGCAGCTCATCTGCGCGCTACTGAGTAACTCCAGTTTGGAATGATGACATTGTGAGGTGGTCACATATTTATTAAAACACACTGATTATAACGCGTGCATAAAAACAGAATGCTGCAATTTATGTAGTACTTACTGACCATATCACCAGCTGACAGAAAATTAAATGCTAGAAGGAAAAGCATTCAAGACACTGCTCTTGAATTTAGTTCCTTATGGTGCTGTATCAAATCTAATGGCACTCTGACGGCACCAGTAGTGAGCTGTAATTGCCTGTGTCAGACCTACAGTCCTCTGAATGGATATGAAAGCAACAATGACAGTAATAAATGCTTCAAGAAAATCATTTCAGCCTATAGGCTATGCTGTCACCAGAATTACTGCTGGGTCAGCTGCTGCTGTGTAAGGATTTGGGACAGCCAAACATCAGAAGCAGCCAAAAAGGATCAGCTATACTTTCACTTGTCTCTGGTTTTCTACTTCCTCAAATGCTCTGAAAGAATTTAAGAACATGTTCTACTCATCTTGGAATGGCTTAATCTAAATTTTTCTTGCCGTGCATCAGACAATTTTTCCTCTACTTGAATGATCAGATTTGGGAACTGCAATGAGATCAGAAAGAGTAAACCACAGCAAATGTGCTTTATATTTAGTGAGACAGATGGTCTCAGTTACCCTATCTTGTTACTTGTGCCTGTATTTTCCACTTGCCTGTTAGAGACTTTGTATATTTTGAATGAGGAAATTGGGTAGATTTTAATTTTTGAGTACTTTTTTCTGAAAGGTTTAATACATGACTTAATTATTTTTATAGTGGTAAAGCTAACACGAAACAAAGTCATTTTCCCAGACAAGAAGTGGAAAATGTCTGTGAAGCAATCCAGTATGCTACTGTTACTGAAGCAAGTTTAAACTTGAGTTAAAAAAGATTCTTCTTATTCTATAGTCAGACATTTTGAGACTTTGACTAACATCTGAACATAGCAGGATTGGATCCTGATAAGAAAACTAATTTTACTTCTAGAGGCTTTAAAGTTCTGAGTGATGGAGAAGCTCTGACTGATTACAGAACAATGGCTTCACTAATGGCTTCAGAAAAGGTACTTCCAAGCTTCATTTGTGTGTGTCTGTATTTTGTATAGCACTGTTTTTGCCAAAACATTCTGAGTCTAGCCCACAAAGAAACACATAAGCTTTGCATTTATTAGCATTAGAGTCTACACCATTAATATAAAAACTCAACAGTACCAGTGCCTGGATATGATGTTGCTTTACCACAGCACAAAATAAAACCAGTTGCTATTTGCAAGTGCATATGTGGTATCATGGTTCTAAATCATTTAATATTTCCTCATTTTGAAAAAACAAAGCATTTTGTATATTAATTTAAATAAAGTTATTACTATAGAACTTTTTTTAAAAAGAAAGACATGTAATAGCAACTTCATGAGGTGACACAGTTGTGGAAAATTTTATGCAAAAGTTGTTAAAACCCTGTTTAAAACAAATTTATTTATTAGCTGAAAACTAATGTAGTCTTTTGGCTTAATTTTTTTTTCAATTGAATACAATGAATGAAAAATACCATACAGCCTGGTTTTTGGTGGTAATTTTTGAATGGCTTATCACTCTTTTTTCTTCGTGTTTTTGCTTTCAGTCATAAACAACGATGCACTTAACTTCAAAAAGAACTTAACGTAAGATATTTCTACTTGTTAATTTTGCACTGAAAAGGCATACTAGTGGTATGAAAGGGATCTCTTACTGAATAAGTATTTCAGAAGTCTTTAATGGCAGAAACTTACATCAAATGTTCATAAAAGTATTTGCAAATCTCTATCATTAATAATAACTTTTGGGGGGGGGTGTTTTTCGTTTTTTTTAAGTGTCTTCTGAAATCCCCTATCCCTTTTCTTATTTATATCATTAGGGGTTGAATACTGCTGTATTTCCCAGTGTGCCAGATGGTGGGAGAAATGAAGATACAATCACCTCTCCTGAAATTTACATAAAAATGAATGTACAAACTGAGATGAAATTAAAATGAGGGGAAAAAACTCACAATGACCTTGATGAACAGGGGAAAAGGAGATGGTGAAAAGAAACAGCAAGTGATGTAAGTGGAACTGTAAAAAGTCTCCTACTGTTTAAATTATGACAATTCAAGAATTCTTCTATTTTTATTTATGATGTTGTAAATTCTGCTGTTGCTTGGGGAGGTAAGGCACAAAGCCTGAGACACAACTATGGGCTTATTCCTGACATACAGCCCTTCAGTTAAAAAATGAAGAAAACAGGTATTCTGTTTCTTTTGCTTCCATTAAGTTCTGACCTTCCCCAAATTTATTGTAACGCATTTCACAGAACATGTCTTCTTGCATTAGAATAATTTGGAAGGACACAAGGCACCTAACCAGAGCTCTGCTCTGTTATAGTTTAGTAGTATTCAATATTTAATAGCTTTCTTCTTTTCAGAAGTTTTCCTCAGAGATGAAGATGAGAGCTCAGGGAATCAAACAGAATATAGAACTCCAGGCTTCAAGCCACACAGTCAGAAAAATCCACTAGGTATAATTACTAGTAGTCATTACTGCTGAGCATTTAAGCAGTCTTCGTAAGATGATCAAAATAATAAATGAAAAAAATGAGTACTTATTATTACTGCTGTTATTTCATAATTAAAGACAGAGTATGGGTGGTTGTGTACAACTCAAAGACAATATTTGGATCTATAAAAACATACTTTGAAGCCAAGCAACCTTGCATTTTATTGATGATCAGAAATAGTACAGCTATTCATATCTCAAGGTTGGTTGTCTGAATTGAGAGGACCAGGACTTCTTATGGATCTGATAGGTTTTTTTGGCATCTAAGACTTGAATTGAAAGCAGATCAGCTTAACTATTTTTTTTCCTTAAAGAAAAATCCCTTCTACTTTTCACCTCACTATTACAGGAGGTTCTTAAGGGGCTCAAGATATATGGTGAAAGTAGTTTGCTAAAGGTTGCTTTTGCTGTGATGTATTTTGCACATGGACAGAATGAGAAGGCTGCAGCTTCCAGACAATGAATGTTTGATGTGATAGCAATGCTTTAAAAAGTTCAGTTTAACATTTGCAAACTTGCACTTGAAATATGGCATTTTTGTGTCACCTTGTAGAAAGTTCACAGAAATTGCTGAAGACAGTAAGAAATTACCAGTATGCAATTTTAAAGCCTCAGCTGTACTTGAAATTCCATACTTCTGGATTCAACTTTTTTTTTTTTTTTTTTTTTTAACCCCTGAAAGCATGATGTGAATTCACTAGTTCTAGACCTGACATGCATAGAATCACAGCTCCCTGTTGGCTCATCACCTGCCCCAGAAAGAGTTCCATACTCTCCAGGCTATCACTGACATAAATAGCTACTTCCCCTCCCTGTCTGCCTGTCCTGTCTTTCCTAAAGAGCCTGTAACCTTCCATTCCAACACTCCAGTCATAGCAGGCATCCCACGTTTCTGTGATGCCAATGATATCATATCCCCATAGCCATGTACACATCTCAAATTCCTCTTGTGTATTCCCCATACTATGAGTGTTTGTATCTGAGCCAAGCTCCAAACGAAACCAACTCACTGGCTGGAGCAACTGAAAACATCTCTGCATCACTCCAAGCATTTATTACAGGTGCTAGCAACTGACTGGGGGTGTTGGGATGGACTGATGCCCCTCTCCCCCAACACATCTAGTTTAAAGCTGCCTTGACCAGCCTAGCAAGCCTCCTACCAAAGCAGCTCTTCCTCTTGTCAGACCAGCTCCAGCAGCCTCCCAGACCCAGATCTGGCCTCCCAAATTGAGTCCCATGTTCTCCCAAACCCCTGACAATAGCACCACCATTCTAATCATTTATTAATCTGCCGAATCTGCCAGGGCTTTTCAAGGTCCTCCCCTTTGACCTGGAGGATTGATGAAAAAGCTATCTGAGCCCCAGAGCCCCTCATCACATCTCCCAGTGCTCTGTAGTCCTCCTTAGTGATTCCCAGGCTACTGCTGTCAGTATCACTAGCATCCACATGGACCACAAGTGTGTAACAGTCATCAGGACTTACTAGATGAGGCAGCCTCTCAGCAACTTCCCTAATCTGTGCCCCTGAGACTGGCTCAGGCCGACAAATACCTTTCAAAGGTATTTTGAGCAGAGGCACAGGTGCCTCTGTGCCTTTCAAAGTAGAGTCACCTACTACTATTGTGAGGAATGAAATAACATTTTGCTTCAGCCATGGAGCTGTGTATGAAGAAGGAGGGTAGTTGTTCCTTCTTGAGGGGAATCGTTGCTTAAGTAAGAAGTTGCTTGTGGCTCTTGCCCTGAAAGAAAAAGAGGCGGGAATTGTTGCAGACAGTTTAGCACAGTAGGCAGCTGGAAAGAGTGTAAGTGTCCAATGGAAAAAGGGACAGGGACATCCACCAGTTGCAAGAGGTTATAAAAAGGTCTCCCACTTTGAAAGGAGTGTGCCACCTTGGTATGCCACACTTGACTCAGCTGATTTATTTTTATTAATATACAGTTTTGCTTCGATGACTTCCTCCTTTTTTATCATCAAGTGAACTTTGTTTCTCACACTACGACCCCTGCTTTTTCCTGGAGGCACTAGTAATGATACTCTTATAGAGGTGCACCAGCGGGATGTTCATTTGGTGCGGTGTGTGTTTCCTCATCAGCCCCCTGCAGAACTGTGAAGCAGTTCTGGGTGGGGATATCGGATTTTGCTTTTAATTGTCCTCTTATTCCCTTGTTGTTTTGTTGTTACAAGCTCCCAGCTTCCTGGATTCATGCCCTTCTCCATTCCTGTATGCCCTACGGTACACGCTTGTGGCCCCTGCATAGTTTGGGCCTGGAACAAGCAGCCCAGCTGCCCCTCAACTTCCCTGACACCTTTCAGCTACTGACTGTGCCCCGCAGCGCAGCCCCTGCTGCAGGAGGGCCTCCACCAGCGCGCACCGAGTGCAGCCCTGCCCATTGCGCACCCTCCCCTCACGACTCCAGGGCAGGCACTTTCTGCACCCGGAGCTCCGCGCTGCAGCCTCCCCTCTCACCGGCTCTGTCTGGTGCCGACGCTGCCAGCGCCGGGGCAGCCAGAGCAGAGCTCCCAGACCGGGCCCCGGCCGCGAGGCGAGCGCTCCCCATCCCGCCCATTGCCCGCTCGTGCTGCAGGCGCCAACCGCCGAGACACGCGCTCTTCCCGCCCTCCCTGGGGCCGGTTTTCCTCGCTCAGGGCGGTGCCGTCCCCCGTGGCACCGCTCCCTGTGAGTCCTCAGCTCGCCTCAGCGGAGCTGCGGCTCCTGGGCCAAGGCTGGGGTGGGCGAGAGAGTCCCGGTGGCTCTCGTCGCCCACAGCTGAGGCTCCTGGATGCGGGGTTTCCCCTTGCTCCGGTGCTGGAGGCTCCTCTGGAGCTGCTCAGGTTGGGAAATGACGCATACTACATGTAGTAGTATATATCTGACATATAGCATCAATATAGTACTAATTTTGACTACATGGTTGCATAGATGATTTTTTTTTCTGTCAGAAAAAGCTATTGATATGCAATATATACATAACTACTTGAATATATTATAAAATGTAATATTATAAAAAATAATAAAAACAGTCTGTAACGTTGACTTGCTAATGGATATGCAAAAAAGAACATGTTGGGTTCTCAACTGTGAAAGTCAATTTTATTACTTCCTTGGTAAGAAACAGCATTTTTTACTCAGAAGTATTTTGTGATACAACAGTTCTATGAACAGCTCAATGTTCTACCAGTCACCTGAGAAGTTTCTTTTGCAATGGAATACAGAACATCTTGAAAAAAAGTAAAAGAAATGGGTAAAAAGTATGGTAACTCGGACTTTCAGAGCTAGCAAATACATATCTGGAATTCTTGAACTGTTTACTTTCACTGGGTTAAGTCAAACTTTGAAAGTCTTGCATTGTAAAACCTCAAAGAATGCTGATATAAAAAATAATATTGAAAATCTAGATTATTCTTAATACTGAAGACACACTGAAAATAACATGCTGCAGACTGGGGAAAAATGAGTTGCAATACCTATACTGATCTAAAACTTTCACTAAGAAATCAGGGCTTATTGGCTTGTGTACAAAAACAATGAAACAAATGGGTTGGTTTAGACTAACTCTTCAACAATTGTTGAACTACAGTTTTTCTTTTAAAGAAGCAATTATATCCCTCATTTCAGTTTTCTAATGAAAATGAAAAGAGAGTGTAATAATTAAGGCTTCTCTAATGAATCTTTGTGAGAAACTCAACACAAAAATGTATAATGGTTGCCACATCAAAATTTATAATTACCAGTTTTTATATAAAATCAGCTTCATAATGTTGCTAACATATTCCTTTACTCTGAATGCATTAAAATATGCGTCAGCATGGTGAAGGAGCATCAGAAATTCAAAAAATTCTGAGGTATTACAAAAAGAGGTAATTTGACTGACAGAGCACTTTAACATAATTTTATGTGATACACTTTCAATGACAAGAACAAGTATTGAGTACAAACCTAATTTTCATACACAATTCTGCAGCTTTTACCAGAAACTATGTCAGAAGTAGTATTTTTTCCAAGCAGGACCTGCAGACTATTCGTGATGTTTCTATCTTGGCAGGTGAGCCCAAAATTTGTGATTTATGTTCTCAGACACAGGTTAGGCAGACAGGAGGCTGATATACTAAATACAACTGCTATTGTAAATTCACTTGGTATTTCATTTTTCAGTCATGCTGATGGTTATTTTCATACATTTTCAATCCATCATTTGCTGCTAAATCCAATTAGTTTGACTGGCAGATTTAGCTTCCCAGTGGGTCTCTGTCAATATTGTGTAGCAGTAAATACCTTGAGAGGGGTTTTTTTCAAATCTTTTCTTTCTTATTTGGTTTTACCTCACCCAGCTAACTATTGATTAGCTGCTTTTGTGGAGCTCTCGCCCATCCGTTGAGGGGATCAAGCCAGCTGAAGTACGTAGCGAACAAAACCACCCGTGTGCTAACAAAACCTGTGCACTCTTTTGAAAGAGGCAGGAAATCATGCCAGGGCTGGGCATGATTAGAAGCACCTGCCTGGGTGCAGCTTTGAGATGGGACTGACAGGAGCTGGGGCCTGGCAGTAGGGAAAGCCACAGAGTGGGGAGAAAGGGCATTGGGAAGCCTGTGTCCCAGGCTGAGAGCCTTGCCCAGGGAGGCCCCAGGGATGGCCTGCCAGCGGGATACCCATGCCAGATTCAGAGCCACCCCATCTCCATGGCTCTGCCATGGTCCTGAGTCTATGGCAGGACTTGATCACTGGCCTTAGCCCAACTCTGCTCACCATCGCTGGGCACAGTGGAATGGGGGCGCTGGGGGAAATTCCTTCCCCACTGCTGGCCCTCACTGCACTCTGGTTACTGGTGCTTTAAGCTGCTATCTGTTCACTGAAAGGGGATGGTAGCACTTACACTTCATCACTCAGGCTGAAAGAGACAGAGCTGACTTTGGTCTTAAACTAAGAGCAGGTAGTTTAAAATCTATAACCTCTTCTGGCTGCTGGCTCTTTCTGTGCAGCTCAGAGCTGTACACACTTGTTTCACATTTTACATCCAGTTCCAGTTCCTCTAGTACCTCTTCCATGCCACCCCGGAAAATGTACATTGCATCACTTTTCTCTTGTCCCCTCATCTTTGCACTCCCTGAAGGAAACCTCAGGTTCTCATTCTCTGCTCTGCCCTCTGCATTGGCACCCCAAGAACTCTCTGAAACTACATGGTTAACATCAGCAGTCAGGTTTCGCTTTTTCTTAGTTATTATATGCAATGTTCTGCATTTGCAAGTGGATAGTAAGTCCTCTGCCTGGGAAACTGAGGCAGTGCTGACCTCTCACAAACAGGACATTTCCAGAGAAGGAGGGGAAGGGAACGGAAGGGAAGGGAAGGGAAGAGAAAAAGGGAAGAAAAAAAAGGAAAAGAAAGGAAAAAATTACTTAAAAAGAATTCCTGTATGATTTTGATGGCACTTAATAAGAAGTAAGTGTTGAAGAATATGTCCTATGATGCTGATATAAAGGGAAAAGTACAGCAGGTGTTAAATTTCTTGAAGGCAATATTTTTAATTATTTTTTACTCATAAACTAATTAACGGATTTACATACAAATGATCAGAAAAATCATTCTGCACTCAGCAGCACACATGCTGTCTTTTTCATACATAACAATGAGGCTAAATACTTGATTCAGTCTTAATTAGAAAGCTGTAGCTACTTCTTCGATGGTATTTTGTTTTCTGGATATAGTGGGCAGAGAGATGTGTAATAATTAAAGCTAAAATAGAGTGATAGATGATTAATTTATAGAGAAGTTCAATGAAGTGAGTCGAAGAAAGGATTAAGCAGTAATTTAGTTGGGTTAGTTGGTATGTTTCTCTCCTGAACTGGTAAAATGCTATGTTCATAGATCAGCTATGTGGATTCTGAGTAACATATTCAACAGAGACACAAGTTTAGGTATGTAGTAAGTCTTGCTGGCAAAATAGATTAATATATTAATTTTTCTTTAAAGACTGGACTCTGAATTTTCATTAAAGCACAAGAAAAATCCGTTAAGAGGACCTCAAACACGGCTCTGTGGTGATTTGTCTCCCTGAACTTGTTTAAAGCCAGGAAGAGGAACAATATGAGACATGATTAAAGGTAAAGTACAATAACAGATCTATGAGGAGAAACTTTATTGGCCCTTGTTCCTATCATAAATAAGCCACTCATTTTTTCAGTGCCATTTTCTGGGATTGATTCCTGTAAGAGCAATAATAACAGTTTCTGAATTTTTGAAAGGAGTCAGGCTATGATATGTCATATTTGAATATGGAATATAGGAAAGTATAGATTATATTTTTTAAAAAGGCTTTCTTTATCTTGTCTCATTTGTGAATGTGGATAACAAATTGACCATTTTGATTCAAATTTATGAGGTACTGCAAAAATAAAATTGGAATAATTCCATTTTTAGAGGTTTTTTTTTTTATATCAGCTCGAGTCCTCACACTCTTGGATGAAGTGGAAGATTTTATTTTATATTCTATAGGTGTTGTTTATGTATAATCCAAACATTAACTA